TTGGCATCTTGAATAATACTTATTTGACTCTTTTTTTCCAAGTTTAAACATGTTTCGTGTATTGGGGGCGATCTTACAAGAGAAATTCGTGGTTCCGTTAGCATCGCCAATGGACGTGAACAAAGCATATTTGGTGCTTTTAAACTTTTGGTAACCTTTAAAGGTAGGTCTGAATGGAATAAATTTTATATTGTCTCTAGCTTGACTCAGAAATCGATTTTAGGTATCGATTTTTGGTATAGGTTTCAACTTGCGCCCCAACTGATTTCAGAAATTGGTGACCCTGCGTCAGTCCCGCATACCCTTTCTTTTGTTCAGTGACGCCGCTTGAAAGCTGTAAGAGGCTTGTTGTCGTCCTATAACATTGAGGGCTCGGGAAAGACGTTTTTAATGGAGCATAAAATTGAACCAGTTGAACCAGTTCCCCGTCCAATAAGCAAAAGTATTTTCCCATCTCGCCCGCAGTAGAAAAGCTCGTGTATCGCGAAATTGATGAAATGTTGCGATTAGGCGTGATTAAGGAGCCGTGGAATAGCCCCTGGTCGAGCTTGTTGTATTGGTTCGTAAATTCAATAAGACTAGTTTATGTTTAGGGTGGAAAGTAAATAGTATCCGCATCCGCATATCGAGAGTGTATTAAGTCGTTTGCCGCGTATTGAATTTATAAGTTCCTTGCATTCACTTAAGGTTTTCTGACAAATTTCTTTGGAAGAAGATTCTTGCGATTGGACGTGTTTTACTGTTCCTAGTCGACCATTGTATGTATACTGTGTTTTGCTCAAAACTTTGCATCAGTGACTGCTTCTTTGACTAATCAGCTTAAGAGGTCTAAGGTATTCCATTGGAATGGTAAGGCGCAGTGTGCCTTCGATACGTTGAAAAATATTTTGTCGTCTGTTATTTAAATGGCGAAAATGTTGAGGTCCCATTTGCATATTTCTATGGGAGAAATAATAAGTTAAATAGTGATAATGATGTTCTACCCGAGCAAATCGATTTTCTCAAAATGTTAGTTAACCCTCTTATCCATTTACATCTTCTTTTTTTATGTGTTTACTATTTTGGTTTTACCTGAAAAATATTTTGTTACGTGTAATTTATTATTCTAGTTTGTAAGAACATAAAATTTCATTTTGTTAATATTTAAACGAAATAAAATAATTTCAGTATAATTTTTGTATTTAATCATTTTTTATTTTTCAAATATCCCAAATCCCCATGAATATTTCTAATTTATTCGAAAATACCAAATATAAGAATATATTTCGTAACAAAAAGTATTATGATCAATTTTGAATACACCGTATGGATGTTTTAGTGAATTTGTATTACGGACTATTGAGAATAACTATTGAGATTGAATTACGGACTATTGAGTCTGTACAAATATCAAAAATTTTTTTTACTTGATATGATTTGATTTATTGGTATTGGCGTGTTTTCTAGTGGAATTTTTAAATCGAAGTTTCTAGTTCATACAACATCTTATTGTACTATTAGGAATTTCGGAGTGTTTTATTTGATTATGTGTAGGAGGCAGGCTAGCATCAGTGTTATCAACTACTTTTTAGAATATTTTTACACTTTATAAGGTATTATAAATTAGGTAATAAAAAATTTCACAGGTTGAGAGGAAGTTTGTGGTTTTTTCATACATATTATTAATTATAAATTACAGAAACACACAAAGAAAAAATATATGTACAACATTTTTTGTTTGGCATAGCGGAATGAAAATATTTACTCACCTTTATTACTAATTAAGAAAAATCCAATATTAACTCGTGACAGTTGCTGAGCCTATGATTTACGTAATTTTCTTAATGAATGGAATATTTTGAGAATAGAGAAAGTGGCAAGGGAACGAAAACCTATATATATTATATATACTTTGAAATTTTTACTTAAATATATATTTACTACATTTTTTTAATTCTTCAATATTTGGTGGATATAATAAATCGACAGAAGAAAAATTACGGCCTAAAAATGAATGTAAACAAGACTAAATTGATTATAATTAGCCGAGACGGGACACCATATCCAACGGCAACAATTAACATAGACCACATTCCTGTGGAAAGCGTTACCAGCTTTAGATATCTCAGGTGCTGGTTGACGGAAAAATGGACCTGTGAACAAGAAATACCGTGCCGAATCGAGATTGCAAGAAGTGCATTTTGCAAGTTCGAAAAGGTTTTATGCTGCAGAAATTTAAATCTAGAATTACGTTTACGCTTCATGAAATGTTACATTTGGTCTATTTTATTATATTTGGCGTTGAGTCCTGGACGTTGAAGGTATCGCAAATGAACGAATTGGAGGCTTTCGAAATGTATGTGGCTATATCGAATGTTATGTAAATGTATGTGAATGTTAAAAATTTCGTATGTGGATCATGTTACGGACATTGAAGTCCTGCAAAGTATCAACACTCAACTAGAACTATTATCAAATGTAAAAAGAAGAAAAAGGGCGTATTTTGGACATATAAATCGTGGCGAAAAATACGAGCTTCTACAACCGATAGTTCAAGGGAGAATTGAAAGCAACAGAGGTATTGGAAGAAAACACTTATCATGGTTGAGAAACATCAGGAATTGGACTTGCATTTCAAACATACTCGACTTAATACATAAGGCGACGAACCGTGAAGAGTACACTAACATTGTTGCAAGAATATAACAACAACAGCAATCGCCAACGACATATGACCGCTAACATTCAGAAGTGGATAGACAGATTAGAGAGAGAATAATAATATATATATATATATCACTAAATTTAAATCGAAATTAAATTTTAAACAATAAATAAATTAATTAATAGTGGACTAAAAAAAAATAATTAATAAATAGTGGACTAAAAAAATTCAGCAGTCTTTTTATTTGTAAAAACTTATATTCTACACACAAATTCAAAAATATTAAGATGGCTTATAGGAGTAGATCATAGCAGTTTATGACACAATAGATGTGTACCTGTCTTTTTATTATGTATTTTTAAAAGTGTAAAAAAGCATTATTTTCGTATTTTAAAGTATAAATAAAAATATTAAGTATTTTAAAGGCGCGCGAAATCATTTCTGTTATTTATTCCAGAGCAAGGTGGCAAAAATGATATATAAAGATTATAAGTAATAACAAAGCGAGTGTTAAAATAAAAAAATAGTTATAATTTATATAATATTTATATGATATAATTTTAAAATTATAAAAAAATAAATAATATTTAAAAAATATTAAATTTGTATAAATAAATTATGATTTTTTTTATTTCAATCTTGTTTTTATAAATTTAAAACACACATTTTCTGTGAATATACACACATGGTAATATTTAAATTTCATGAAGTAGGATCAATATACACCTTTTTTTCTCCTTTGTTCATTCCCGGGGGGAACATAGGGCTTCCACAAATCCATTTCTTTCCTTTATTGCCACATTTATAGGCCTCTGGTTCGTTGTCACTCATAGATCGCCGATTGTTCTGGGCCAGAATATTCTACATATATACCTTAGACCCTTATTGACGTATGCTTGGGCCTTGTTGATATACACTGTGTCCATCATCCATGGTTCACAGCCGTACAATATACCAGTTTCACATGTGCGTTGAATATTCTGATCTTCGTGTTCTTTGACAACTTCCACAAGTGAAACAGCCGGTCAAAGGCCACACTCGTTTTCAATATGCTTGTCGCCTAGTTGAAAAGGGCGTATTTTTCATAGTGTTTATTCTTTGTTTTACCTGGTTTTGTTTTTTTTTTAAGAAAAAAATTAATAAAAGTAATTAATAAAAGTAATAAGTACCTCATTAAGAGAAGCAGAGGATTATAGCAACATTAGTTACTTTTACACCAGACCTTCAACCCAGAAAGAGCTTAAGGACATAGTCGCGGGATTGAAAGATAATAAAGCTGCAGGTGCGGGTGGGGTGCCGGTTGAACTGCTTACGACCGACCCTGGTCTTGCAGCTGCACTAATCAGGCCTATAATAGAAAAGATTTGGCAAGAAGAAAAAATAGATGATAAATAGAAGGAAGGAGTACTTGTAAAATAGCCGAGGGCGGGTAATCTGCAGTAGTGCGGGAATAAGAGCGATATAACCCTTCTCAATAAGATACTTAAAGTGCTGGCCATAAATGTTCTGCGCAGAATCAGGTCGAAGATGGACATAGTACTCAGGAAAGAGTAGGTCGGGTTCCAACAGGGTCTGCATAGATCTCTCGAATACACTCAAAATCATAATAGAACAATCCAATGAGTGGAGTAGTCTTCTTTACTGCACTTTCGTCGATTTCGAGAGGGTATTCGACAAAGTAAAACATGAAGCTATCTGGAATACGTTGCATTACAATGGTGTCCCCAGAAAAATGGTGATAATCATTATGGCCATATACGAAAACACATCCTCCAGAGTGTTACACGCTAGGTGCACCTATGCAAATAAGTTCGGGTGTCAGGAAGGGCTTCATAGTCGTGGTTGATGGCGTAATGAGAAGAATCAATAAGACTCTGAGAGGCATCAGATGGGAGTTGACCAGCAGGCTGGAAGACACTGAGTATGCCGACGATATTTGCCTTTTAGACCACACATATACAGATATATATGCAGGCTAAAATACAGATAGCCGCTGAAGCTGCGCGAATCGGCCTCAGCCTGATCTCAAGATCAACAGCAACGAAGAATCCGAGGCTTCACTTAAGTCTCCCATGTTTGACGAGTTTTACAGGTAAGGTAGTTAACCTTACGCCAAAGCTCGCGCTTACAGTTTCGGTCAGTTCTGCCAGCGGGTGCTGGAAGAAAAGTTGCCAGGAGCCACCACGTGCAGGTAGAGTAAGCACTTTCCCAGGAACCCAAACAGGTACACAACTGGGTCAGCAACCGATCAGTTGCTATCCTGTTGCTCCCAGACCAGGCCTGTTTTTTTTTTTTTTTTTTTTTTTTTTTTTTCTTGAGCAATGGAAACAGTACGCAGACGTTATCACCTTGGGTTATGAACCACCATTTCCAAGGAACCCTGGAACGGAAAACTAGGGCCTCACAAGAGGAATATAGGGCAAAGAGACGAGAAGAAAAGAAGGTCGTTAAGAGAAAAAAACGGGACCACGCGAGATCTCGGCTCTTGGATATAGAGAAACATAGAGACAGAGCGGAAGTAAGGAGCTTTTATAGAAAAAGAAAACAGCTCTCAGCTGGATTCAAGCCCTACACATGTGCTCTGGACGATGGTGCGGGAAATTTGGTGACCGATGAGGAAGGAATATTGCGGGCGTGGAAGCAGCATTTCGAGCGGCTGCTGAATTCGGAAAACACCGAAAGCGATGCATCCACAAGAAACACTCCTGTTAACAACGAAGAGGTAATTCCACCTAGCCTCGAAGAAGTTAACAACGCCATTCAAAAGCTCAAGAACAATAAGGCGGCTGGTTCTGATGGCCTGTTCAAAGCTGGGGGTGATGTACTGGTTAGGAGCATGCATCAGATCATATACCGCATTTGGATGGAGGAAAGCATGCCCGACGAATGGAGTGTTAGCATCATAAGGCCAATCCACAAAAAAGATGATACCACTTCCTGCAACATCTATCGTGGAATATCCCTAATTAATATCGGATACAAGATTCTACCCAACGTATTGTGCGAACGACTAAAACCACTCTGCAACAACGCGATAGGAAACTATCAATGTGGTTTTAGACCTGGAAAATCTAATACCGACCAGATTTTCGCACTTCGTCAAATCCTGGAGAAGACAGACGAATTTCAAATTATAGGTGATACTCGCCACCTATTTATCGATTTTAAATCTGCCTATGACAGCATACATCGCGCCGCACTATATGAGGCGATGGCAAAATTTGGGTTCCCGAGCAAAATTATTCGCCTATCTCGGATGACGCTAGAAAATACTAAATGTTCGGTGGCAATTAGGAAAAATACATCGGAAGTATTTCGGACGCGTTCCGGTTTTTGCCAGGGGACGCGCTGTCATGCGACTTTTTCAATCTTGTGCTGGAACAAATAGTGCGTCGCGAGGGTGTTAACACCGAAGGCACTATCTTCTTTAAATCCGTGCAGCTGTTGGGTTTTGCTGATGACATCGACATAGTCGCTCGCTGGCGACGAGCGGTCATCGAGGTGCGAGGGAGGTGTGACGTAGAATAGCCCTGGCAAATCGGTGCTATTTCGGTTTGCGAAAACAACTGGGTTCAAAACTCCTATCCAGAAACACTAAGCTGCAGCAGTACAAGACGCTCGTTCTTCCGGTCTTACTTTATGGCTCGGAAGCTTGGACACTGTCTAGGACAAGTGAGCAATGCTTTGGTGTTTTTGAGCGAAAGATTCTTCGTCGCATATTTGGTCCTGTGAATGAGCAGGGTGTCTGGAGGACAAGATATAACGTCGAACTCTACGAGCTGTATCAGGACATTGATGTAGTCAGCAAAATCAAGATAAAGAGGCTACACTGGTTGGGCCACATTGCGCGGATGTCCGAAAGCGCCCCAGCAAGGAGAGTGTTCGAATCTAGACCAGAAGGAATGAGACGTCGAGGTAGGCCGCATCTTCGTTGGAAAGACGAAACTTCGGCGGATTTGAGAGGTAATGAAAGACTTCGTGTCTCCAATTGGAGGAGAGCTGCCCAGGATCGCGGCGGATTGAAAAAAATGATAACTCAGAACCTTCATAAGGCCTAGTAAGTAAGTAAGTAATTTTTTTCTTAGCCAACTTTTTTCACGAAATATGTTTTGTTTTTTAAATTCCACTGATTGTGTCGTATTTCTTATTATTTTTTTTCTTTTTTTTTTCGTAAAAAAGAGTTTAATATTTTAAAAAATCTCAGGTTATTATATACATTTTTTAAAAAGCTTCCCATTGAAATTCTATAGAACAAAAAAGAAAGAAAGATAGGAGGAAAGAAAAACATGAAAAAATTTTTAAAATTCATATGTCAGTATGATTTCAAATGTTAATGGGGAAGGATGTATGATTTTTCATGTACATTTTGTATTTCTTAATAAGGTAAGTTGAGTAGTGACGGCTAACAAAAAAAATAATAAAAGTAATATAATGTGATACATTTCAACACTTTTAGTTATTATTATCTTTATTAATTCATTCTCTCTCTTAAGAGCAATCAGCTCATGTAGAGTATATAACAATTTTTCGTAATAACATACCATAGATATTATGAAAAAAAAATTTTAAATTTAAAACTAAATTACATAATGTTAAGGAGCAAAGAAATCATAGTGAATATAGTTACTTAATTAGAGCTAAATACAATGAAAAAAAGAATTTGTTTTGTATAAAAAGTAGCTTTTTGTAATATATCATTAATTTTAAAAAATTAAAATTTATCCCAATATCGATTAATTAATTCAAATTAATTTAAGTAATCATTTAAGAAATTGGTGACATAAAGTACGTTTTTAATTTAGTTTTAATGTTATTTCGCAAGTATGTTTCAAGTTTTTCTGGTAATGAATTGAATGTTTTTCCTGAACTTGAAAATATTCCATCTAGGCCGTGTAACTTATATTGTAGGTTCTTAATGTGCATCAAGCTAGCACCTCTTGAATTGTGTGAGTGCATTTCGTTGTTGCATGTTAAACTGGTATTATGATGTACAAATCGGTTTTTTAGATTATAAATTTGCATTGCTTGTACCATTTTTATATAAATTTCTATTGGCAAGATTTGTAGCTCTTTATGTATTTTCTCCGTCGACGTTTTTTTCTTATTCCAAGAAGATTTTTGATTGCACAATTTTGTATTTTTTGTAGCATGCTGATATTCTTTGAAAATGTATTTTCCCATATATTAATACCGTAAGTGATTGTGAAGTGAAACAAACTATAATACATTGATTTTTTACCTCATTAGGTACCCTTCCCTATGCTACTTTAAGGACTCCTGCGATGCTTCTACCCTTTTTAATTTGCGTTATTGATTGATGTTCCCATTTTAACTTAGAGTCAATTATGATACCCAAATATTTAAAGTTTTTAGTATCATCAATTTCAATACCATTAAAAAAAAGCTTGAGATTTGATACATAAGATTTTTTAATATTCATATACTTAGTTTTTTTTATGTTAACCGTTAGTTTATGATAACTCATCCATTGGCTTACTTTTACTAAGTCTGAGTTTATATTTGTTTGTAGTGAAGTATCTTCGGCAAAAACGATGACTAGATCATTCGCATACAAAAAAAGAGTTCCGCGCATATTTATTTTGGGGAAACTGCTTATGTAGGAGGAGAAATGCGTCGGTCCTAAAGACTCACCCGGTATCGTTTCGGTTAAAGGTACTTATAGAATTGTTTCAAATAATTTCAATTACTTTTTAAGTTATTAAAAATGTACCTATTTCCAAACAATTTTTTTTGTACATAATAATTTTAAAACTAGTTCAAACGTGTTATATTGAGTGGTTCCAAAATTTATTTATGCTCTTTTTTCATATTTTATTACCAGGTAAACAAGAGTAATCTATTTAAAAATGGATTTGCCCGTGTATGATTGCTCTGTCTTAATAGCAAACGCAAACGGAAAAAAATTCAAATAAGTTCCTATTACCTGTGATTTTACAATCAAAATTTTTGAGTAATTTACTGAAATACTATTTATTTCAAAAATATTCAAATCCGGCCATAAAAAAACCTTTTAATCATTTTTTTACTTAGGTAATATATGAAGTTTTAAAAATTTTGCTCAAATAAAAATAGAGGCAAAATTTTGAATTGTATATAAAGTTTGTATTGGTAAAATAATATTTAGTGGTATTTTAGATATTATTTTCTAATTCCCTCTTCAAATTTTTTCTTTACTACGTATTTATATCAATATTTATTAATTATTCTTTCAATAATTACATTTTCAACTTGAGACTGCAGTTACTTCCCATATCTTAATTTACCCTATGACAAAGTATATCTATTAATAAGTAATTGGACTCGTTCCATTCCGTTAGTTTTCATTTGCATCTTGCTTCCAAATTCTTAAAATATTCCATTTTTTTTTAGAAATAGATGGTAATAAGAGTTGTGTAGGCAAGAAAGAAACAAAATATTGTAAACAAACGAGTGTATCAAAAACATTGAACTGAAATAAAATTAAATTAAGTTAGGTAAAATTTTTTTTATTTTTATTTTAATAATAACAAAATTTATTTTTCATTTTATTAAAGTTAGGTAATAAATTCGAATGTATAAAAGCAAAAGAATTTGAAATTTCATGTACATACATGCATGTACCTGGTACAGTAGATACACAGTAACAGGTAATGACATAGAAGTAAAGTGATTTATAAAGAAAAAAAAAAGTATATGCATACTGATTAATACTTTTTGAAATATAATTATTACCGACCGATTCATGGGGAAATATGTTCTAAATTTATTAAGATTGAAATAAAAAATTTAAAGATAATTTATTTATTTTATTTATTAATAATTATTATTTACCATTGGTTAACACTAAAAATTTTTTGTTTTATATCAAATTGTTTTATAGTTTTATTAAAACTTTTTATTATGTGGCAAATTCTTATGCTAATATACAGTTAAATGAAATATGTTTTGTCGGACTTTTCACAACATTAACAGTTAAAATTATTTTTTAAGTGTTCATATGTTTAACATTCTAAAATTTTGTCTGTACAAATATCATTAAAAAGTTTAATAAAAGTATTTTTTAAATTCTTTAAATTATCCATTAAATTCTTGGATGGTTTATAAAAAACTGTAAAATATTTTTTTTCACAACTATTTAAAATTTATTTTTATTATTTTTCAAAATTATATTATATAAATTATAATAATTTTTTTAAACATTTTTTTCCGCTTCGCTTTTATAATATGAATACACCTGTTTTGCCACCTTGTACTGTAATAAGCTACAAAAATAAAACTCCCGCCTTTAAAATTCTTAATATTTTTTTCTATACTTTATATAGGGAAAAAATAAATAACTCCCGCTTTTAAATATACATTATAAAAAAACAGGTAACAGATTATAAAAAAACAACAATTGCGTACTCTTTCCCTCTCCCAAAAATTCTTATGTGTAGAAAAATGAAAATAAAAAGGTATACTGCTTAACTCTTTTACCTAAGGGAATTTTTTGAACACACATATTGTTGAGTGATTGCATTAGTGTGATGTAAACGGAGAGTCGAACTACTTATTAGTAGATATACTTTGACCCTATGAGAAGAAAAAGCTTTGAATTGAAAAGCATTACATCTGATGAAAAATGTAGAAAATGCTCAATGTCATTTGCTTGGGAAAAAATAAAAGTTTTGTTCAATTGTTTTTGGAACAAAAAAACTAATGTCTATATCTAACAAGTCCCGATGCTAAGAGAGAAACTTGAAAGCACGACCTTATTTTATATGGGTTTTTTTAATCGAAGTGGCTATTTTTTGAGAAAAAATATTAAAATAAATTCAAACTTATTATAAAGCAGGTAAAATTTCGAAAATATATTTGAAAAAAAAAACAAAAAAAAATATTTTACTATTTTCATTCATAATTATTTTAAAATTCTTGAAACAGCGGAAAAACAACAAGCACAACCTTCGCCTTCAACGTTTTATATGTTACTGAAAGCATTTCATTATTTTTATCTCATAGGGTAAGTTAACTCAAGATATGGGAAGTAACTGTGGTGTCAAGTTGAAAATATAATTAACGAAAGATAATTATTAAATATTGATATGAATACATAGTAAAGAAAAAATTTGAAGAGGAAATAAGAAAATAATATCTAAAATATAATTAAATATTATTTTTTAAATACAAATTTTATATACACTTCTAAATTTTACCTCTATTTTTATTTGAGAAAAATTTTTAAAACTTTATATATTACCTGAGTAAAAAAATATTTAAAAGGTTTTGGAAAAGACAATAATATATTTTTATGACCGGATTCGAATATCTTTTTTATTTTTGAAATTAATAGTACCTTAGAAAATGACTTAAAAACTCCGATTGTAAAATGACAAGTAGTAGGTACATATATCCGTAAATTTTTGTCCGTTTGCGTTTACTATTAAGATTCATACACAGGCAGGGTCATTTAATAAATAGATTGCTCTTGTTTACCTGCTAATAAAATATGAAAGAAGAGCACAACAAAATTTTTGAAGCACTCAATATAACATATTTGAAAAAGTTTTAAAATAATTATTTAAAAAAAAAAATTATTGGAAGTAGGCACATACACATTTATTTTTAATAACTTAAAAACTAACTGAAACTATTTGAAACAACTTTATAAGTAGCGTATAAATAACCGAAATGAGATAATTCAAATTGTTAATATAATATAATTGAAATGTGTCAACCTATATTACTTTAACTAACATTTTTGTTAGCCGACACTACTCAAATTACCTTATTGGGAAATACAAAATGTGGATGAAAAATCATACATCCTTCCTCATTAACATTTGAAACCATACTGAAATATGAATTTGAAATTTTTTATCATTTTTTCTTTCCTCGTACCTTTCTTTCTTTTTCGTGCAATATAATTTAAATGGGAAGTTTTTTAAAAAATGTGTATAATATCCTGAGATTTTTTAAAATATTAAATTCTTTTTTTAGGTAAGAAAAAAGAAAAAATTAATAAGAAATATGACACGATCAGTGGTATTTAAAGAAAAAAACAGGAACGAAGCCAAAAATTCGTAATATTTCGTAAAAAAAATTGAGTATTGGGACTTGTTAGATGTAAAGACTTTAAAAAAAAACTATTAAAATGGGACACAACAGAAAATTGCGTTCTTATTTTAGAAATCATTATCTGTTCAGAAAACGGGTATTTTTTTTTAAATGTTTGGCAAAACATATAGAGGATAGACACCGCTAATTTTAAGTCAAAAAATGCAACATTTTCAGCCAGACAACAGAAAAAAATCCGTTAGCTGACGATTCGAAAAATTACAATATAAGAAAATAAAATTCTGTATTTTTTTTTTCAACTGAATTATTGCAAATTTATGTTTAATTTAGTTTATTACCAGATTTTTTATTAATTATTAAAAAGTTAAATACATGTTTATAAAAACCTAACACTTATACTTTTATTTTATTTAAAATTGCAGAAAATCATGCAGTATATCATAAACATTTTTTAGAATATTTGCAAATACATATATACATATCTACATATTATTAAGTTAAAACATTTTTCCGCAGATTATTTTTGTAAAAACACTTATATGAATACATAAATGTACTTATATTGCGTGCAATATTTTAGTTAACGTGGATACGATACTTAACTTAATACTACAATAATTAAAAATTATTTTTTCAAATTTATATTGTTATAAATTGTAACTCTGCATTTTAGAAAATTTTTAATTCAAGTGCCTAGGCACATATTTTTTTTAATTCTGCTAGATAAGCTTTAATTTATTATACATGTCAACCAACCTACGGTAAATGGTTTTTGATTGAGCAATTTTTTAGCTTATTGGGTCTATTGAAAAGTTGGAATTCCCAAGTCATCAACTCTTGAACAATATGAATTTCATGTAAATTTTGTTTTATAGAGTACCAAGAGGGTTTTACCCATAGCTATATCATTTTTCGCGTCCGAATTTGTTACAAAATGTATTTTAACAAATTCGAAAGCAGCTGAACATCATGTTACAAAATCTAATATACATATGTGTATTTAAAATAAAAATCTAAGGATAGTACATTCAAAAATCAACCAACATCCCAATAGCCTGCTTTGTTGTCTACGCATTGAGCCAGAATTTTCTGCAAGATATTTATGTTTAGCTCAAAGATTTTACATAACTTAAAATTAAAGAGTGCATATATGTACATATTTTTTAGACGGAAAAAATTTTCGACTTAAAAATTAAATTTAAAAATTATACAAAATAAAATTTATTAGTATTATTATTAGTATTATTACTGCGTTGTATAAAAAAAGGGTTATACTTAGCTATAAGTAAATAGAAGCTTTTTCAATGTATCATTCTTTAGTGAAAACTCAAGTCTGTGTTCGTGTTTGTTGCATAAACGCAGCATCCTCATAATTGGTCCTATGAAAAGGAACCATGAAAAGATCAGGGGAACGGGACCTAAAGTTAGAGTTAGGGAGAGATTAAGTCAGTTTTCATAAGCTGAAAAATTAATTAAGACATAAGGATCTTTAAACTCCTTTGACCAGTGTTTAATGATACCTATGATCTGCATATGATATGATTGTAGTGGTTTATGAATGATAACTTGTTATCGAAGCAAACACCCATGTCCATTATTGAATCAACTCGACTAAAAGCTTGGCTATTCAAAGTATAGCTTGTAAAAAGTGGCCGCTTTTGTATGGAGTAGCACATTTGTGCACATTTACTTGCATTGATTTTTAGGTTATTACTTCAAAAACCACCCGTAGAAGTCTTAAGATCATTCAGAAGATACATCGCATTATTTGCGGAGCTTATTTATTTTTATCACTGCCAATATGCTTTGGTATTTTCACCAATTATGCATTCCCTACCGACGCGGTAATTAATATACTAAGTCCTCGAGCAGAGGACCAGAAATTTATTTCGCAATTCGATATGTCGTTTGGGGAGGAAAAAAAATGTGTGGAAACAAAAAGTGAATTAGACATACTATTTTATGATACAATTGACCTGTTTTTTAAAAAAAGATAACAAAGTTTAAACAAAATATAATAACGAAACCAAAAAGCTCAATTTTGTGACAATAATGAATAAAATAAAATTTAATTAGGTTGATATATGTATGTAAGTATGTATGTATATCACTTCAAATCATAGTTTTAACTACTAACTACCATTTTTAACTAGAAAGAGTTCATTATTGAAGTATGTGTTTTGATCTTGTCTTATAACTAAATTTGGTATAGATTTTTATTCAAAAAAGGTTAAATCTATCAAAAACAAAAAAAAATATTTAAATTTTTGTCGTATCAGGAATAACGTAGCAAGCCGAATAAAAATGATCTAAATTTATACCAATTCGTAACTCGAAATGTCGTATCTCGAAAACTTAGTGTATGTACCTACCGTATGGCTCATAGCACTAGTATGTACTTTTCTCATAACATGTAACGCTCTCGGGAAACTAATAAATCTATTGAAATTTTCATAGACATCCATGTATATATGCACGTGGGTGTTTATTATTCCGAAAATACACAAGGCGACATAATTGCACACTTCCTATAAAAACCTAACTATTCAATATTCCCAATTAGATTATCTGACTCAGTTATTGTTTTCGCTCACATCATAAAACATCAATCTTTAGATTGTAGTGTTAATAATCCCAACGTAAACTAATAGGTAATAATAATTGTTGAAGTTTCATAAATGTACTCAATATTGTTAAAAAGCTGGTCACTATAATATGAAATAAATTTAAATAAATAATTCCATTATTTCTTATAATTTTAATCACATTTATATTAATTAAACATGTACGTAATGATTACAGAATGAACAAATTTTTAGTCTTTCATCTCTCCTTCTTCATCGTCATCATCAACTCCTTTAATATACAAAACATTGTTGCAACGTATGAGAACTTCTCCTAAATTTCCCGTAATTTGAGTTCCAATATGCTCTTCTGTATTAGCTAATTGCATGTTCATATACCCATCAACAGATACCAAATAACCACGATACTCATGACCCCACTTTAATTTTATTAATACAGGCTTACCAGTTAAACCATTTAAAAAAGGTTTGGGATTTATGGGCATTGCTGTACTCATGTTTATGCAGTTGTTAAGTTATTCTTCGGAAAAAATTTTAAAATATTTGTGTTTAATAATACTTGCTGAAATGTCTTAATTCCAAACGTATTCACACATATGCACATACAATATAGAATTTCAGGGTTAGCAAGTTATCTATTTTACAATATAATAGGGATGTGGGTTTCTTTAATTTTTTTGAAGGTCGATATAACTTTTACGATTTCTGAAAATTCCTTTGTAAAAAATGGCAAATAGAAAATGTTTTTTAAGGAAGCTAAGGAAAAATTTTAGGTTAAAAAATTTTGATACGGGTTATTTCAGAACAATTTTTCAATTTAATATGTTTTTATATTAAAATTTGTCACTTCAATGTCTGTTAAATTGGCAGATATTCGTTGGGAATTGATAGAAAATTCGTCTCTGTTAGTGTTTTGGAATTCTTTCGACAATTATTATGTTAAGCTCATACATATAATATAATATAGGAAAGTATAGTGGTAAACAATATTTGAAATCGGCAATTTCTACTATTTGGCCAATCAAAAGTTTGATGAAAATCTCAATTATGAATGCCTACATTTTGTTGATATACAAACGCTAAAACTATGACGCAACATAAAAAATTGCTCACAGCTTAAACCACACCATAATAATTTTTTTCCTTCGTGGTCATTTTTTTGTGACATTTTATAAGCAAAAATTGTTAAAATTTCAATAAAATTGATGGTTTTTGTTTATTCGTTATGTAATTCATTAAAAATCTGAAAAATTTGAATTGTTTACTAATGAAAACTAATTATGTTCTGTTTCAAACTCTACTCCGATTACAAATTGGACAACTAAATCGTGCAACCAATTTAAATAGTGTTTACAAATTAAATTTGATTAAGTCAGATATTCTGTCAACTTTAGTTGTTTTTGATATGTTTCAAATTTTATTCTTTTCAATCGTATAATTTTGAATTATAATATCGTAAACGCTGTCTGAAGTTAAAAATTGGTTTGCTTTGTTTAACTTTGTAATTAACAAAGTTTGGCCTTAATATAAAAAAAAATTTTTTTTTGTATTTTTGTATTTTTACATTCAATGACGTTTTTTAATACTTTAAAAATAAGTTTAATACAAATAAATATAAGTGATAAATATTTTCAGATTAAAGTAGGAATAAGATTTAATTCCTGAAAAATACCTAAATTCTATTATCTTGAAGGATATGAAAGCTTCACTAAAAACTCAAAAATTCAGATTATGATTTCGTTTCATAAGTAAATATTGTGAAAATACTGTTTTTTTTTAAATGCATATTCTTAATTTAAAGCTTTCAAAATTTAAGACATTCGCATGTTAAACAGCGTCATGCACTACTAATGATAAAAGCAACAGCTGGATTCGCAATAATTATTCTGTACATATCATGAAGGTAAACTAATAATGCCAGATATAGGCAAAAAATACTTCGTCAAGCTTATTATTTTTTAAGTCTATATAATCTTATCTGGTAATATCTACTTAACTCTGTTAGTTTTTTCAGCTTTGAATAATTTACGTGGTTTTTAGTACGGAAAATATTGTACTAAACTATGAGGCCTGAAAACAAAAGATAATCAAACTTTTTTCTAGGACCTATCTGTCCTTTATATCCTATCGCTCCCAATCCCCCCTGGCCCGGATTAAGGTGTTATGCAACCCGTGCCGATATGTAGCTTGGCTGGCGGCCCAGACAAATAGCTTAGTGACTAATGGAGCATCTGGATATCCGGCGCCCTCCGGATTATTTAAGCTTGTCTAGGTACAGCGGATCTCTGCCTAGATTGACGCCCTTTCTTCGTAACACGTGTGATCAGTATGGCGATCTCTTGGGATCTGGAGTCCTGTCTCACGATCTCGTGCTTGGGTTTCGGCTGAGCCGTCGGACTCGGATATCATCCTAGAAATGATCAGATTGGGCAATCCCAACTTGCCAACAATCAACTTTGCCGACAGGCCCCCATAATAATAAATAGAGAATCTCTGGCAATTTTGGAGAAGCAGGGATTCGTCCTTCATTACGGGTTCTCTTCTGTAACCCTTAAAGTGGTCGTCGATTTCGATTGACATCGAGAGACAGTCTTGAAGGTGGTGGCATCATGCCCTCCAACTTCTCTTGCGCTCGAAAATTTGAAGGACTTGGTGGAGAAGGATAAGTCTTCGACCGACCTGATTATTGGGAGCGATGTCAATGCGCATCACGAGATCTGAGGAAGCTCGAACAATGATTTGAGAGGTTATTTTTTAAGTCTATATAATCTTATTTGGTTTGGTCACTTTTAGAATTTATTTTTAGTACTAACCTTACATTATGTAATGGAGGCTTAGATCCCTTCTTTACTACCCGTTATTACTAAAAATTGACAAAAAGTTATAGATATAATCCTTGCCTTGAACATTCAAGAGGCTCCCTTGACTTTCATAAAAGTTCAGAGATTCGTTAAGCGATCTCTTGGGATCTGGGGTCCTATCTTCTCCTGAGACAACGGGGACCTGAACAGTGTGGTCTACACGCTTATCGGGCTCATAAATGGCGCCTCTAAGGTGACGTGTCCACTAACTCGGTTGAGAGGTAAAAAAAACCCGCAGTGGAAGTCCTATGAGTTAAATGCTGTTCAAAAAAATACAGAAATCAATTCAACCTAGCAGAGATCAGCAGGTGTCATCTGATTTGGGCGCATATAAGGATGTCCTCAGGAAATACAAGCGCCAACTGAGAAGGCCGCAGAGATATTCTTGCAAAAAGTTTTGATGAAAGATTGGCGGGGCTGCGGAGGCCTCCACACTTAGAAAGGTCTTGGTAAGTGAGCCAGTTCTGCCGATCCTTGGGGGAGTCTATTACGAATAGTTACGCTTGCGAATCCTTATTTCGGAAGTGGTCTCCGAAAGAAGAATTCTTTAGACTATCCGCAGTTTTGATCTTTTCAAGTCGACGGGTGCGAACGATATAGTGACGAATGTTGCATAGATCTAACCTACATTCCAAAATCATTGAATGTTGCCAAGGTGGTCTTCATTCCTAAAACTGGGAGAAGGACTCACAGTTGCCCAAAAGATTTAGACTAATCAGTCTAAAATCGTTTCTGCTAAAGATATTGGAAAAATTGATAAACGTATACTTATGCCAGCACAACATGCGTATCGGAAGGGTATACATTACATTGAAGTTTCCTTAATTGCAGCAAATACAACTTTTGTATTATTTGTTATTTTTACAAATCACAAAAAAGTTCCTATTGCTTTTTATTATTTTTTTTTCGATTTATTAAAACACAATTTTAATATTAATTGTTATTTTTTTATTCTGTTTGTTTTATGTAATTATTATAGATTTGTTTATTAATTTCTTTTTCTTCTGATTTAAGAAATGAAAAATTAAACCAAGTTATAATTTTTCCTTGCTTTTACAAAAAAAAAATATTTAAAAACAAAATTTGTTTTTATTTTTTTTATTTTAAATTAACCAATTTGCTGAAAAGAATTATTTTTTAGATTTTTATTTTTTTAAAAATATTTTCACACGAAATTATTAGATTTTTATTTTTTTTAGAAATATTTTCACACGGAATAATTTATTAGGCGACAATTTCAATGCAAAAATTTTATACAAGAAACAAAAAAAAAATATTATTTTAAATGTTTGTAATATTATATTCTGGGGCCCAAAACCGCACTGTCATCTCCTAGTTGTGGGCGCCGGTAATGGCGGAGGATAAAGGGGTGATTGAAACGATCAAAGTTACGTTCGTATCGTGGTCATATTTCGCGGCGAACCTCTTGCTTTGTGAGTTTCAGCCCTATATCTATACGTCAGCTGACGACAGGCGTCCCAAGTTAAGGTGGAACAGCATATGCCGATGACTGCGTGGCTAAGGGGGAGCTTAGTCGTTAGTATGCGGACTCTGAATACCAGGCGCCCTCCAGTTTAAACGAGTCTTCCCATAGTATGCCGGGCTCTGCCATGTGTGACTATACTTTCCCGCGCTACTCGTGGGAAGAAAAATGGAGAACGTAAACAATAACAACAACAGCAACAGCAACAAAAAGAACAACAACTGTGACAAATACAACAATAACAACAGTGAAAATTACAACAACAACAATACTAAGGACAACAGTAATACAAACACAGTTAGTGCTCAAGGGTCTGCGGAACCAGAGCTTCTCTCGACTGACGCAGAAGAGGAGCTCCTTCTTACGCCAGTAGAGGAAAAGGCGGCGTCACCGTTGAAGACGGATAATCAGGATCCTCTTGGACCTATTATCCAATAAACTGAGGAGGACTTGAAAAGATTGGACATCAGGGAAAAAAAACAATTTTTCTCTGGTGCATCCAAGCGGCGTATCGCGGTTTATATCAGGGATGGCATGTCCCCAGAGCAAGCTCGCAGATATGAGAAGGAAAGGCTAGAAAAGCTGAAGGCCTGCGGATCGGGTGTTGTGGCTGACCATCACCAGAAGAGGGAAAGGTCGGAAAGCAACACCCCTGATGCAGGGCCCTCAAAAAAGAGGTCGATGAAGGGCAATGTTGAGGAAAAGATCCCTGGGAATATTCCTCAACAAAACGCGAAAATGACTTCTTATTGGGATGCAGTAGCACAGGTCAAGGTGGCCATCACTCATAAACTGCACCCTGAGGAAAGGTTATCCGAATACCAGATGGGGAAAATCAAAGTAGCCATCATGGATGAAATGGATAAAGTTGTGGATTCTCATCCACAATTCACTGCAGCGTTGCAAAAGGATGGATGGATATTCGTAACATGCAATAATCAAAACACCAAGGAGTGGATAACCAGTGTCTGCAGGAAGAGAAAGCCTTGGGACGGTTGAAACGTCGTGGTACTGGTTGGCGACGATATGCCCAAACAGCATGTCTGCGTCACCTACGTGCCAAAGGACGAGACAACCGTCAGTCTCTCCAGGGACAAATATATTAGTAGGATAGGGAAGCAAAATTATAGCCTCAAGATGAGTTCCTGGAGGATGCTGAGGATGGATAAGAAAAAGGACGGGGGCTGCTCCATCACCTTTTGCGTGGATGATTCCGAACTGGAAGATCTATGAAAAGCGGAGTTCCGACTTTTTT